AAGAAAGAAAGAAAGAAAGAAAGAAAGAAAGAAAGAAAGAAAGAAAGAAAGACTACAAGAGTAAGCCTGAGGATCTTAGATGCTAAAAGCTGGCTTTTACCTTCCACTTTCCATGAGCCCTTGGGCAGTTTTCTTAATTACGACTATACTAATACCCTTTGTCCAAAGGGAGCTGTAGATGGACACCTGGTGGATAAAAGACCTTGAAATGAAAGGATTTGTTGTTCTCTTGCCGTTTCCCTGACAGCTGAAGTTATCCCTACTGCTAGTTGTTATAGAAGATTTCTTGTATTACCAAATTACATCTGAAGGATAATCAATATTCATTCTCTTATAGAATGGAGTCATGCAAGTAGGAGCCGTCTGAGCTGCTAACTGGCATGCTTCGGAGTCCTAGACAAATTTTGCAAAGCTAGGTCATAGGAAAATGAATCTGTATTATTGGAGGAAAGGGAAATTTCAAGGTCAGGCTCAGCCAGAAAAGAAAGAAAAGCGAGGGTTTTCCTGATTCGCTTGCCATCCCACAGTGAGGCCTGTCAGAAGAAGACATCTGCCTCCCCCTCTCACCCTTCGTTCCCAGCAAGGAAGCCAGATCAGCCTTGTCAGTATACGCATGGGGCAGCTACTGATAGGTTGGCTGGAAAAAAGGCAGTTCCGGTCCCAGCTAGTAAGCTGTTCAGGCCTCTCAGAGGGAGGGAATTCTGCTGATTAGACCACAGAGGAAAAGAACAACGAACTGAAATTCCAGAATTCTGAGCACTGGTCCTACTCCAAGCTACCAATGGGGCTCAAGAAGTTTATTTTCCTATCTTCAATTTCCTCAGTAAGTGAGAAGTTAGGGCAAACTTTAAGGTGTTTGTTTGTTTGTTTGTTTTAAGATTTTATTTATTTATTTGAGAGAGAGCACACACATGCATGAGGAGAGGAAGAGAAAGGAAGGGAATCCCAAGTGGACTCTGCACTGAACGAGGAACCTACCACAGGGCTTAGTCCCACCGCCCTGAGATCAGGACCTGAGCCAAAACCAAGACTCAGTTGCTTAATCGACTATATTACCCAGCACCCTTTTGAAGGTTGTTTTCAACTCAAAAAGTTTAGTTTGGAGATCCTAACACCACTTTGCAAAACTTATGAAGCAGCATCTAAATCAGCCACGGAAGTCTACTGTGTTAGAAAGGAAATCTGCTGAAACAGAAACCGCAAATGACCGCAACTCAAACAAGATGGATATGTTCTTCTTTCTCATGTAACAAAATAGGCAGGGAGAAATGTGTGGCTCCAGAGGGCTGCTGCTTTTCCTTCTCTCCCTCTCCCTAGTGTCACTCTCATGCTCCTGTCCCAGGACGCTCCCCACCGCATCGGCATTCCAGCCACAGGGAAGGGGTCAAGGAGGGAGACTGAGCCCACGCCTCCCAAGCCTCTGATCTGGCTGTTGCTTATCACTCTGGGGGACAAGCCCAGACCCAGTTATGACTCCCAGACTCCCAGGAAGACTGGGAAACTTAGTTTATTATCTTAATGTGGCCATGAGCCTTCTAAAAATAAGTTCCGTTTTGTTACAAAAGACGGGAAGAGCTAGCTGTTTAACAGCTAGTTATCAGAGGACAACTAGAAGCTTGCTACCATCTCCATCTTTGGTTCTTTGGATGGTCTCTTCTAAACACAAATGTCCGACTGCTCAGGATGCCCTGTCCCCAGTCATTCACTATCAAGTCAAAGGTGCATTGTTATTACCTGTACAAAGTATTACAGGGGAACTCCGAATTACCCATTTAGAAAATGGTCTTGGTCAACCTTTTTTCCCACTCTTGTTGCCTGGCTTTGCTTTATCCAGTCGTAAAGGCAAAGATCTAAAGACCAGTGATGTTACTTGAGTTTTCCGTCTCTACAATGAAAAGACGAATAGGCTTGATTTCACTTGTTTGGTTCCCTGTACTCCTTGTGGATTCTGAGCCCGTGATGTGCATGAGGCCAGAGAAGAGAGCAGGAAAGAGAAGCCAGAATTATTTACTTATTTGAGAGAGAGAGAGAAAACATGCACAAGGAAGGGGGAGGGGCAGAGGGACAAAATCTCAGACTCCCTCCTGAGCATGGAGCCCAATGCAGGGATCGATCTCATAACCCCGAGATCATGACCTGAGCCAAAACCAAGAGTTTGATGCCCAACTAACTGAGCCACCCAGACACCCCGCACGTCCTTTGTAACCCCTTGTAGGTCACCACCTTTTAGCTGTTCATCCCCCAGCCTGGTGAGATCAGCATACCAGAGTGCCCATAAAGAGAAGAGCTGAACATAACAGTACAGTCTGTGCCCCCCAGAGGTGATGCTGTGAGTCCGTCCACACACACAGTTGCCAGGCAGAATAAAGGAGACAACTTGAGACAGTGTTGAAGTGATATCAAGGGAATGACTCAGGGATCTTATGGAGAGGGACAGGGGGATGGTGGAGAGACTCCTTGAGATAGAGTGTGGTCAGAGTTGGCCTTTCTGAAGAGGTGACATCTGAGGTGAAGCCTGAAAGGTGATGAGAAGCCACTAATGCAATGACATGAGAAGAACAGTTCAAGTACAGGAAACTCAAGTCCAAAGTCCAAATAATGACAAAATCAGAAATGAACAATTGCCCGTATCTTAACATTCTCATGCCTATGAGTTTGCATATTACAAAAGGGAGTGTATTTAATTGCTACATTCACTTGTTTATTTACAAGATCACTGAATTTTTGGAGGGAATGTATGACATTCTGAGCATTCATATTTTTTGATCAGTAGATCCTATAAAGCTGATTTGACTCCTTTCATAGCTCCAGATTGAGCACAAGGTACAATTTTATTTGACTGCTGCAAAGCTTCTGACCAAGAAACAAAAACAGCAACAAAGCACTGACTAATCAAAGAACATTAATGCCTACATCATTTTCTATCTCATTTTTATATAAATAATCAAACCGGGCCAGAATCTAGGGCACTTAAATGAGCCAATTCAATTCTTTTAAAAATATTGCTGCAAAGAATCCCAATACATGATGAAAAAGTATTTAATATTTCCTTCAAAGTGTTTGCTATTCCCAGTATATAGATTTGAGGAGAAAATGTGAACCAATTTTCCCAAATAATATTTCAAGATTTCTCCTGGAAAAGTGTTTTGATTCACTTTGAAGGTAATTAAAGAAGAAGATATTACCGGGTATCCAGTAAAATAAGCTGTTCTTGCGGAATTCATCCTGACACTTTGTATTTCATGTTGTTCCATCTGAAGTGAACTTGAAAGCATCATTCTATTAGCTATTTATGCTGATCTTAGTTTGATGAAAACAAAGTGGAAGATTTATAGTGCCGTTGAGTAGAATAAAGTCTTCTCTGATTACTGTTACCTTTTACAAAGTGGATCTCAAATTATACTAGTTTTGTTTTGTTTTGCTTTGCTTTGTGGCCTACGTTTCATATTTTAGTACAAATCTCAGTCATAACTTTTTTGTTTTGATAAAATATGCATAATAAAGCGTATCATTTTAACCATTTTTAAGTGTACATACAGTTCAGTGGCAATAAGTATATTCAGATCTGGGCAACTGTCAGCATCATCTGTCTCTAGAATTTTTTTCATTTTCCCAAACTGAAATCTGGTACCCATTACACAGCAACTCCCCTTCCCCACACCCCCGGCCCCCTGCCACCCCAGTCCTTGGCAACCATCTTTCTACTTTATGACTCTATGAATTTGACTATTCCAGGTACCTGACATAAATGGGATCACAATATTTGTCCTTTTCTGTCCGGCTTATTTTACTTAGTGTAATGTTTCCAAGGTTTATCTGTATTATAGCATTTATAACAATTCCATTCCCTTTTTAAGGCTGAATATATTCTACTACATGTATGTATCACATTTTGTTTATCCTTTATCAGTGGACATTTGTTTGTTTCTACCTTTGATTATACTATAAATAATACTGCTATAAACATAAGTGTACAAATATCTTTGCAAGTCCCTGTTTTCAATTCTTTCAGGTGTATTCTTAGGTGTGGAATTACTGGATCATACGGTAATTCTTTAATTTTTTAAGGAAACACTCCACTGTCTTCCACCTAGTTAGGTTTTGTATTTTGTAGTTGAAGACCGCTTAGCATAGTGGGTGAAAGCCTGGGCTCTGCTATTAGAAACACATATACGCGGATTTGAATCTCAGCAGCACCATCATCAAACACAAGAGTCAATTTGACTAGTGATAAAGTGTTCTGAGGGGACCTGAAATACCATGGGGAAAAAAGTCCCAAACCTAAGTAATTACTAATGAATTAACATGGGGTGGGGTGGGGTGGGGGACCACCTTTCTATTCTGCAAGTTACTGAACCTCTGTAAAGCCTCAGTTTCTTCCTATATAAAATGCAAATGATTATTATCAGGCATCCTTCCTTGGGTCATTGTGAGGTTCAATAAAACAATGTAAGTAAAACATTTAGTGGGGTGTCCCAAATAAGGAAAGCACCCACTTAATGTTAGTTACACCATTATTTACGAGCAGAGTCTCTTATAGCATGAGCTCTTTGCTGTACTTCTGCTTCGAAAGAAACGAAATTGATTAGATGTAGCTCTTGTAGATGCCGTAGTTAATATGACCCACTCACAATTCTATCAATGAAATTGAAATGACAGAATGGCAGATTTCATGGATTCTCTGAAAACCTATATAGAAAGCCCTTTAAAAAGAAGCCAGGTTAATGACCTCGCAAAAACATAATCTCATCTGGTTTCTCTTTCATCGTTCCCCTGGGTG